GAAGTGTAATTTTGGTTGATACTGTGAAAAAAAAAAAGATTCAAAAGTCAACTCCAACAAATAATTTAGACTTTTATGCATGGGCTAAAAACTAAGACCTGGGCCCACCTGCTTAAAGGTCCACTGTGTAGGATTAAGTGGCATCTAGCAGTGTAGTTGCAAATCCCAACTCCCTCGCTTCTTCTGCTCTTCTGCTTTCAAGCACAAAAACACAAAAATCTTTGACCTGGATCTTACCCGACCTCATTGGTTTTAATATATCTCGTCATAGGACAGCAGTTGGAAATTGGTCAGGTGGATAATAACACAAAATGATTAATATATTTGCTTTATTTAATCAATTTATTAAAGCAACAAATCCTTGATTACAATCCTCCACATGATACACACACTGAGGGCAACTGACATGCCCAGGCCAAAGCTCAATACAACAAACTCCACCTGGAATCAGTCCAATCTGGAGCCAGTTAGGTTCAAGTAGCAGAGGTCTTCCTTTTACTGTTTCCTGGAAGCGATGTTTCATCCACAGTTTCTCACCACTCATCTGTTTTTGTGACCAATGTGCCACAATGCTGTCATTTTTGTAGACATGACTTTTTGTTCTTTTTGAAGAATACAGGTATTTGATTAAAACCATTACATCTGCACGAATCCACATTGTTAAGTAACATATGTTTTGATGGAGCTGACATAGATGGTATATGATTTGACCATACAAACATATTCATCAAATTCCCCACAGTACAAGCTGAATCTGATAGTAATCGTACGTGGAGGCTGAGGAAGATTTTTTTTTAAATTACTGTCAAAGATATTATTTTTAAAATCTTACATCTAATATTCCCATCTGTATATGATTATAGGTCCTCTGTTGATTATTTTTTTTATTATAGTCATTCATTTTCTGACTTGTGTAAATGTTTAATTATTCTTATTATACTACAGGTGAACAGGGTAAAACATGTAATAGATATCAGCATGAACCTGCCCCAATTGATTACATTAAGACAATTATTTGTTTTTATTACAAGCTGAAATATTAAATATGCAAATGAAGCATTATCTAATTAATGCACCAATTTATACAATTCAAGAAAAGAAATCTGAACATTGGATAAACTAAAGTACACATGACATATTATAGTCAAAGATTTTCATGGAGGGAATTGAAATCTCCATAAATCAAAAAATACCGTCAACAGCCATAAAAAAAATGCACCATGTTTTTAGGCATAAAAGACATAAATAAATAAAGTACACAAGTAGGATTTTTGCTTTTATTCTAGTGGATTATTTTTACATTGTGGTGTTTCCTGAGAATTTTTTGCTCTTATCCCACACTGCAGTATTTATACAAAGTAACTAACTATACAGCCCATATTAATATTTCTTTGTTTTGAATGTTTATTTCACAAAGAGCAGTAATCATAAAATTTTACACAGAATCGTCATATTGCTGCCCCAGTGGTGAGGAAGGGAGTGAGAGGACGGTTAGGGAACAAGTCCCAGGATGTGTGACTTTGAACTGGACTTATATAATAATCTATAATCAATAATAATATAATAATATATAATATAATTAATAATGATTCTTATGTCTAAAAACTAAATATAAACCTAGAACATTATTACACACATTACATATAATTACAGTATAATACTGTGCATGCAATAGCTGATATGCCCCGCCCCCAAGAACAGTATTTCCAGGAATCCCCCTTTCTGATAGGTCAAGGGATTCCTGGGAAAACTGGACCCCAGGAGAGAGGAGGAGAAAAACAAGAAGTCGGTATGCTCTTCCTCATCTGATCAACGCCAATGGACCCCATTCCTCACATACAGAGATCCAGCTATGGTTTCCATACGTCTCATCTACAGACTGCACATTCAAAGCTTTGAAGCTGTCACGTCTGTTTTGTCTTTCCTGATGGTTCCACTTATGGAACACTAAATACTGAATTTATCAAAAAAGACCAACTTTCTGACCCTTTTATGCATATCATTGTCCCTGTCTAAAGCAAAGCAGAGCCCTGATGCCGGATGCTGTTACCTGGTTCTGGATACAATCAGAGTCGAATTTCTGTCCTCCGTCCCGAGCTACAGTGCTTCATCTCAGACTACCAACTGACCAGAGATGCAGCACTGCACCATGGGCCGCAGGGATTGACCAGAAAGTCAGCTGGAGAGAAGCACAGGGACACAGCAAACAAAGCACAGTTAGTCACTTTAGACAGATTTCTATTCTGATTTAACAACTTCTACATCAGTGGTTCCCAACCTTTTTTCTTAAGCGAGCCCTTTTCTATAACAATAATGGATGGATGAATTTTGAGTAGATTATTACCTGTTTCATTAGAGATCAGTCTTCCTGATATTTTTAGGAACTTTTATATATATATATATATATATATATATATATTAACAATCATTAGTACTTAATAGCCTTGTTTTTTGACAAATTCATTGTTTTCATCTTATTGTTCTGTTAGATCTTTGGTTTTAACTTTTCTAATTGTCAGAGATTAAAGGCTGTGTGGATAGAGCTTGTGTTCAGGTCTTCACCGTGTCCGTATGAATTGAAAGGCTGAGATATAGGCCTACTGTGTATATTCTTTTTAAGGTTTTCTTACACCCCTAGTTGGGGTCAGGACACCCCAGGTTTGGAACTTTACAGCTAACAAAGAAATATTACACAAAATTTAACATCTTGAAAATCCCCAAATCACAGAAACTCGCATGAGCTATCACTAGCTGATATGAATCATAATGAAGTGAGATCACAGTTAAAGTCAGAGTGATGCCTTATGATGATAACTGACATCAGAATTGACACATTTCTCTAACAATCATACTGGACATGGAGCTTATTCATAGACATGAAACATTAATTAAAGCTGAGTAAAACATAGTCACTCATGCCTAATGGAAGAGACACAACAATGTCTCACACTTCATACCTCATAATAATACATAATACCTATTGGTCAAAGCAGTGTGAGACAAAAAAAGGGTGCAAAAACTGTGTGTGTGAGAGAGATGACAGGAGAGGCGACAGAGAGAGAGGAAGGAGGGTTGAAATAATTAAAACCGCCAGTAGACCTAGCATAATAGCGCAAGCTTCCCCTGTGGGCGGGGGGCTGCTGGGCTCCCTCTAACATTCCGCACACCACTCACAAGATAAAGCTTTCAAAATGCAATCCTGTGTGTGTGTATGTGTGAGTGTGATACTCACCTCTCTACTTCAAGCCAAACTCTGAGATCTGAAACACAACACACTTAGTTAAAACAGAGGCATTACAGCAACAGACAGCTGCGCACACATGCACGCACACACAGGCTGACAAACGGATATCATGTATGCTCTTTATAACCGTTGGCTCTCTACTCCTTCCTATCGGTTGAGGAGGAATACAACAGATTCAGGGTTACAGTCTTTAACTATACTGCAATTTCTGAGCATTTACATTAATTGAAACAAAATGTGTCCTCTGCATTTAACCCATTCTAAACACTAGAAGCAGTGGGCAGCTGTGAAATTAAACTGTCAATGACCTGCTCTACCAGCTGCAGGATACAATACTGTACAATTTCTGATGCTGTATTTGACTATTTTAGCGTTAGAAGACTCTGCTTTTTCTTCTGCTGTGTTTCAGAGGGAATTTCCTGCTTACTTTGATTAGATTCACACTTTATGTTCAAAACAAGATCCAGAAATGACAGAAAATGAATTACAAATGAAAATAAAAACCTGAATAGGAGCTATGTCTTCAGTAGTAAGGGTGGTTTTTATATTGTGTGTTTGCACAGTTATGGGTCATGGGTTATGGGTTATTAGTCCGCAATCCTGCTGCTGTTGGAGGCTCTAACCTTTCAGGTTTGAGTTTGACGTGTGTGGACACATGGAGACAGTGGAGACAGTTCAGGGTCAAAGTCTGAGGAGTCTAGAATGGTTTGGTGGTTTGTTTTACTGATTCTCTTAAATACTAACAGGCCATTTATATACCAACTATGAGCTGATATCACATATTTTAAGTGCAATTTCATTGCAAAGATGTTTAACAAATCAGTGAAAAACAATTAATTCATGTGCTTCCATTCAGTTTCAGAGCTCACTGAATGGTTTGATGAGTATGAAAATGACAGTTGTCAGCGCTCTCCACCACCACCGTGAAGATGGAATATCTTTTAGAGGAATGCTGCTCTTCCCCGCGGTAGACTTTCAGACACCAGAGAATATATGTCATGGACCACTGAAGCTGTTCATGTTGTAGAACAACACCTTACTGACACATCTGATGTTTGTAAGTTGGCTCATTTGGAGCCCTTGTGTTTACTTATTGTTTATATTGCCCAGAATTATTGCAAGATTCTGGAAAACAGCTAAAGGCTGAGTGGATGCAGTGGTGGCAATAGCTTCTTGTGATCTGAGTTTCTGTGCAGAAAGTGCAAAACAGACAACATTTTGTTATGAATTAGCGCTATACAAATCAAATTTAATTGACATCAAATTGAACTGAATTGTACAGCAACATCTGATAAAGCTTATCACTTGTTGCCCTTTTTTAATTACTGTAGAACTGTTTTTTTTACAATGTTCTTGTGGTATTTTATTGTCCTCTGAGCACCAGCACTGTCACTCTAACAGTTACCATATATATCACTGAGTTCCTGACAAAGAGAGACATATAAAGAGAGTGTTGGAGAAAGAGAGGCCGGGTGTTTTCCAAGAATGCTCTGACTCCGCTTGGCTGGAAACTCCCAGTCTACCCATATAAGGTTTGAGCCAGCCTTTTATTTTGGGGATCATGGAAACTAGGATTGCTGCTTTGGATAAACATTCCCTCTTCCAGTCTGTGATTGCTCCCACTGATAGTCTGTCACCCCACCCCCACCCCCTCCTCCAAGCTGGCTACATACATTCCCTTTTCTAGTCACAGTGGGGAGAGACTCACTTAAAAGGCAGCAGAGGGAGAGGAAGCTTTATCTTACTCAGTCTCTCTCCCTCTGCTCTGGGCTCAACAAGTCCATATTAAGAAGAAAGACCTGCTCTCTTTCTCTCTCACACTCACTCACAAACACAGCTTAGAAAGTCCCACAGTAGGTCATGTCTCGAGGTCTGTCCTCAGGAAGTGTTGCCCCAACTAAACTAAACCAACAAACAAACCTGCCCTCTCCCAGCCTAACTCTGTGTGTGTGTGTGTGTGTGTGTGTGTGTGTGAGAGAGAGAATGGTACATGACATCAAGCTTCAAGCCTCTATCCTGTTGCCGAGTTTCACATCATAGGGAGCATCTTCATATCTTCACCATTACAATCATCACCATCATCTTCACCAGCCTTGATTCAAATACACTTTGTTGTTTAGTACACACTCTTACTATTCTATTAGTCCAACACAAAGCACCATCATATTCAAGTGGCAGGATGAAGCTTTAACCAGTGTCCAGTCTGTAGTCTTAAAGGACTATCACTAGGACAATACACTATTCTCTTTTCGTAGTTAGATTAGATGAGAGGATTGATATCAGTCAGGAAATACACCTACCAACACCTATAAAGCATATCTCACTCTTGGAAAGAAAGGAACAAAGAATAATATCTCCTAAAACATTGATCTATTCCTTTAATTCATTATTTGAGAAGGAGCTCTGTGTGATTTTTGTGTAAATCAGCACAGCACTAACAGAAATCACGTCCTGCCGTGTCATTGTGTCACATCTCACAGACGGTGGCTCTTGTCACTCTTTTATTTATCTATCAAAATAAAACACATTTACCCCTATCTGCGAACAATAAATAGACCCAGAGTTCTACAGCCTGACCATATTCAGAGATACTCAGAGAAATCAGTTCATACACTCTGCCATGGAGCAATTATTTGTTTCTGTTGTAAACATTTCCGATTTTTCAGTGGGAGAAATGTCCACATGAAATCCCTTTTATGGCTCAAAAGCTGAGAAGGGCCCTGGAACAAACCAGGAATATAATGTTAGCTGGTAAGTTGTTGTAAGGGGCCCAAAGTATCTATCAACTGCTGGTAAAATTTAGTTTCTGTAGAGAGAATGAAAACATTCATCTTAGCTCAGGTAAAACAAACATATGACTACTTTTTAATTTCCTTGCTGTTGCTGTTTCCTTGCTGTGGTACAAATGGTCATATATTTTAGTTATAGAGGTACAGTAAAATGGATCTTGAAAATGGGCGGCTGTGGCGCAGAGGCAGAGGGGGTCATCCCCTAATCAGAAGGTTGTTCGTTCGATCCCCAGAAGAAATGGCATTTCCACGAATCCAACCAGGACGAAAACACCCAGTTAGAGTTAAGAAGGATAGTTCATTTTGAATTCTTTTCCGAGTTGTCTTTATATCTTTCATTCTTCTTTCTTTTCTTCTTCTTCTTCTTATTATTATTATTTTTGTTTTATTTAACAGGGACAGCCGCACAATAAAACATTAACCTTGGTATATAACAAGGAGAGATGGCATTGCAACCGGGTTTTAGCAAAATTGCTATTTTCCAGCCGTAGTCCCTGGGCAGGTAAATGGAACATACAATAATATTGCCTTCTGATTGGTTGTGTTCGTTCGGCCGGTGGCATTCTTGCAAATAGGATTAGGAGCACTAGAATGACTGGATAACCTGATTTTTTTTTTTCCCCAAAAACAAGATTATCTGTCTGCATGTATCAGGAGACAGTGAAAACTTCAGCAAATATTGGTCAAAATATGATTTATTTATTTATATAAATTTATAACAGTTTAAAAAAAGCGTGCTCAGGAGGTAGAGTGGTTCAAAATCCGGCTCCTCCTGTTGCATGTCGAAGTGCCTTGAGCAAGATAGTTACACCCCCAACTTAATTGCCTCCTGATGCTGTGCTTAGTGTCTAATATGATGAATGAGTTTAGAATATACCTCTGCCTTTACTGTAATGATGTGCAATGAATGGGCAAAATAGGGGAATGTGGCATGTCATGTAAAAAGTGCATGAGTGTGAAGAAACTAGAAAGGCGCTATACACAATACAGTTCAATTTACTAACTCAGTTATAACTATTCATGCCCTGATTTTGGCCATGACAATATTAAATGACATGACATATCAGTGTCCAGCTTTGTCCCCAGTTCGATTTATAATATTAGTATCATTCCATTTAGATTTTCTCAGTATAAGATGGTAAATGGTAAATGGACCCTGTACTTGTATAGCGCCTTTTCTAGTCGTTCCTGACCACTCAAGCGCTTTTACACCTACGTGCCACATCACTTTCCCACAATTCACCACCAGCGATGGCAAGCCATCGGAACAGAAAACTAATGCCATTCATACACATTCAACCACCCGATGCACGCATTCGGGAAGCAAATTCGGCCGGTTCAGTATCTTCTCAAGGATACTTCGACATGTCGGCACCAGGAGCC